ATCTTCTCTTACCAACAATGCTGCTTTATCGCGAGGGATTTAAAGCTAGGTACCCATTGCTTCAGCTTTAAACTTCTCCAAAGGCTCTGCAAAGACGATCACCCATAACGAGTCTTTAAAAGGAAATTCCCAATCAGAGTCATTGACGGTAAATCATACTTTGCTCATTGCTATACTGGGGTCGATCTTGAAACAAAAGTCAGAAGAAAAACAATGAAACGATTACCGTTAAACTAAAAGAAAATGTTGCAACATTTGTTACAATGCGTATGTGTAAAACAGATGCTTGTAAAAGACGACTGACGTGTAAAACTCAAACTGAATAATTTGTGTACGTAGAAACATTGATGTTTGTATGAATGATAATTTTGTTTTTGTTTTCTATAGAGAATAATGATGATAATTAATATGATGAATATGGAAACACAATAACTATCCTGCAATGGTTCCTGGGATGTACCATCGTCGTTTTGATCGTCATGTAGGATCTTACACAAAAACAGAAGATGTTAAAAATATTTAGGTATGTGCATGGCCCATGTTCTTGTCTAGAGTTTGAAAACGCATTCTAAATCAATGATTTTAATCAGCTGGAACTACTAAATTTGAGACACAAGGTGCTAATTGTAAAATTCATATTTTAATACAAAACTTCGCTGCATGAAGAAAAATATTCATAAGTGCAAAGTCAATACTAATAACATCCTTAAATGAAAATCTGCAAATCCCTAAATCATAAAAATAATATTTGTCTCCAACTAACCTTGAGGTCGAAGTCTTAGTGATAACAAACGCTTCTCTGTAATACCAAACGAGTTCCACCTTACAAGAATAATTCCGATGTAAGATTTATTCATTTTTTCAACTGTCAAACTATTTCGCTTCATATAGCTACGAGTTTACATCACTATCGATAGAAATCCATTGTACCCAAGGTATAGGATTACCGCTTGCTACACAACCAAACGTTTTTTACATTGGCAAAAAGACTCTCATCTATTGTGTTGATGGTTCGTGTAAACATTGTAAAATATGTAAACATTGTCAACCAATCAGTAACACTAAGATAAACAGCCAAGGTGACGTTTCTTAACTGGTTTTTGCAGCATTGTAGTTTCCTGAATGTGAAATATCAACGCCCAAATAATAAGAGTTGTTCCATTATTCTAAGTAATAGTTAGGAACTTACGTTTCTACAATTTGTGGATTATAACACGACCAATTTCTTTCACCATTCTTGACCATGTTACTTTGGGTCGAGGATTACCTATGACACATTACAAATCAAGTCGCGTCTTTATCTTTATCTTTATTCACTGTAGAATCTCATCTGATAAATTACAGGATATATTCCTGTAGAATAGTAAAAGAAACAAAATTGTTTGAATTACAGCAGCATGGATGTGATTTGCAAACAAACAATTACTGTAGGTAGCCAAACACATCGACATTTTCTATCAAACCTACGTAAGGGAAGAGCTAGTCGTAATTTATTGTGAACGTTTTTCAACTATAAAGTATAATTTATATATAATCGTTTAAGATAATCGTTCAAATTTCAACTCAATGTTTTACAAAATTATTAAGTCTTTATTTCTGTTTAAAAGGTCAACTGTCATACTGTATTTATATCACAATCAAAGAAAACCTATGCAAAGATACATAAGTGGTTACTGAATAACTTTCAAAGTCAAAAGAAAATAATATCAAAATTTCACACGTTTAGATAGTTCATGCTAAGATAAAAGTATGTTCCTTGTGTTAAAACAGCGAGAATTCGCATATTTTCGAACTTTTTAATGTTTATGGTGATAAAAATTTCAAAGCAACTAACTCGTTACATTCAACGTTACAGCAGCATATTCATTACTGAGAGCATTTTTCACTACATCTGTAAGTTCAGAATCATTGATGTTGATATTTCTGTATTTTCATTGTAACATTTACGATATTGAGGATTTCTACTTATGGTGATGTTTGTTCTTTCACTCTAACTGGATGTAAGTTATGACGTTGTCTAGGGTTTGTGTAGTACGTCCAAAAGAGATGATTTCCTTCCACTTTTGCACGAACATCTCAACAAGTAAATAATGATGTAATATATGCACATAGCTGACAATGTTTTTTGCACACAAATGATATAAACATTTAAATTATAAACTTGAAACATTTTACAATTAATGATATTTATAAATGAAGATGTTAATAAATTTTATTTATCAAACCAACAAAACCATTCACATCTTTCATGGCACTAGTATAGCAAACAAAGAAAATATTTTCACTATTTCCATGTAAACCCATACATTTAATTTTGATTGGTTTACAATATTTATATCAATCTTGTTTATTTGATTTGCCCTAAAAGCTCCTCGTTTTGGAGTTTACATATCAAAAATAAAAAAATGACTCAAAAACAATGTGATTTAATTGGTGCTTGCTTTTCATGATTTCTTACAAAGTTCAATTGCAGACTTGATCAGAACTGTAGTACAGTAGCAGTATATTGTACTTGAAAACCATTTAAATCAGGATTTAAGAGACGGTGATTATCACAAGTATTGTTTCTGAATATAACGAGAAACAAAAATAACACATTGCAAATTTTCATCACTGCTCAGTCAATAGTAAATATTAACATCATCAATCATTCTTATTACGTGGCATATAGCTCTGTAATCAAACATTCGCCAAACATGTAAAATATTTGTCGAGATGTTTGGCATAGTGTTGATAACAAGTGCTTTCATTGACGTTATCACGCTCTACAAGTAGGAATAGGTTGTAAGATCTTTGTTTCACTACAAACTTTCGTTTTTGTTTATTCTAAATTAATTCAAAATTTAATGCAGCGTGCGACAAGCTTGACGAAATTTGAGTGAGTAATCAGAAATGAGCGATTTGAACTCTATTTAGCTATATATACAGTGTCTACATCAAAATACATATCTAAATAAAAAATTTAAACCATTGTTAAGCTGCGCTCGACACAGCAAATAACTTTATTTTGCTATCAGTGAGCCCACTGGCATATCAAAACAACTACGAGGGAGGGAGGGTTTGTGTCGTAGAATAATGATTGATGAGCATTAAAATTATTACTATATAGGTCAATTTCCACAGGGCTTTTTTTGATACAGCATAAAGTCACTTGAAACATTTACAATTAATGAAATTTATAAATGAAGATGTTAATAAAATTTTTATTTATCAAACCAACAAAACCATTCACATATTAAACCATGGCACTTAGAAATAGCAAACAAAGAAAATATTTTATCACTATTTCCATGTAAACCAACAAACTTAATTTTGATCGGTTGAAAAAATCTAAATCTAGTCCAGTCCATTCGATTTTGCCATAAAGGGTTTACCTCGTATAAAAAATTTACAAAATTGACTCGAAAACTACGTGCTTTCATTAGTGCTTGTAGCAGGGTGGCAGTATATTGTACTTGAAAACCACCGAAATTATAAGACAGTGATGATCTGATGATCACAAATGTTGTTTCTTTATAAAAGAGAAACAAAATAGTACATTGCAAATGCTCATCAGTATCAGTTTGAATATGTAAATATTAACATCATGCATTAACAGCATCTTTTTGTTTTACAAAAGCTTTCGCCAAACATGTAAATATTTGTCGAGATGTTTGGCATAAAGAACTGAAGTGTTGATAACAAGTGTTTTCATTGACGTTATTCATGTTTTACAAGTAGGAACAGTTGTAAGATCTTTGTTTCACTATAAATTTTCGTTTTTGTTTTTTCTAAATTACTTCTAAATTTAATGAAGCTGTGCAGCCTTTGACCAAATTTTGGAAGGGGGAAATGAGTGAATTAAATTCAATGTAAATATAACTACAAAAACAAAATCTATCCCTAAACAAATTTAAACCATCAGATACACCCAGAGTTGCTTAAGGTAATCGCCATTTGAAGACTTTACTGTCATGAAACGGTGAAAAATTAAAAATTTTAATGCAATGACTCATTTAATAAATTGCTTTCGAAACAGCTGGCAACTTTATTTTCGTATCAGCAAACCAAGACATTTTAAAGCAACTAAATCTAGAAAAAGTTTTTAATCGTTGGACAAATCAAAAAGCCCGACATATGTTACTAAAACATGTTTCCTTGCACGTGCAAATTTTGAAATGGAAAATAAAATGATCCTGTTTCTGAGCTTTCATTTCATTACTAAGTAAAATTTAGTAATGTATTATTAGATTTTCTCAATTTCAATAATCTAAATTTCAGAACTTGCCAGTATTCTTTGTGTAGTTTCACTGCCAAATTGAAATACCGAGGCAAAAATTCATTTAGAAAACTTGTCCAAATACTGGACTGGTAACACTCGAAGTCCGGATTTTCGTGTTGTGACGTCAAGGTCTTATACTAATGCTCGAATTTTAAAATAAAAGTTCACTCACTGACACTCACTGACACTCACTGACTCACACTCATTGTGTGCGACTGAATAAAAATCACACTCTATCTAATCATTGGCAAAGTCATTTCTCCATCTATGGCAAGATTTTCTCCTAGATATTTCAAATCAAGCAATCAGTTGTGTGAAATTGCGTTCTTTGAATAATTATGAAGTGATTTTGAAGCACCACTTAGTGAGTGTGAATGTGAGAGTTTTAGAATACGAGTGTAAGTCTTTCTCAGAAATAATTTCACTAGCGAGAAATTTCCAAACATCTTTAGCACTGGGTCAGAAATGTATTTCGAATTCAACATACTTAATAGCCCATCCTATTGGTATAAAACGGACTTCGACCAATATCCTAGTACCTAGATCTGCCACAAAGCTCACCATTCCATTTATTTAAAAAACACTGTTCATAAGGATTTACTGTATTATGCGTGAGTGCTACGTGTAAATAAATCCTCGGTCACAACGCTTTGTTTAAATAGATATTACACCAAAATTTAGAAAACGAAGTCTATAGTCTATTTGCAATGGCAAGTGTTTTCAAAGTAAAAATGCAAAGTTTTGGACAAATTCCAATTGATAATTTGCAACATCATTGTCTAGCTCTGACGCCAAAAAGTTGTAGTGTTTCAAGATTTGAGAATTTCCTGTTTATGGCAAACAGGAAATAAGAAAAAGATCTTTTTTGTACAAACTGAAGTCTTTGTAAGGCAACAATTTCCAGTTTTTCCAAAGCACATGAGATAAAAGGCAGCAACTACGATCCTTTCATCATTCTGTGTGGCTTATCTGATGGCTGTATTTGAACAGGTGTGTTGTCCTTTGTTTGAACCGTTTTGCAAATATTCTTAAATGGAAATACCACAGTAAAATATTAAAGAAAGTTTGACGTAAGCAAAAACATAAGCAAGACTAAGCTCAAACCGATGCAATGAATAAAAATAAAATTCCGTTTCTTTGTCTTTTTAAGTCTTACGAGAATAAGAAAGTAAAGTTTTCTCGCTAATGCTTATTTTTATAATGACTGTAGACAATTGGGCTTTACAATCTCAATTACTTTATAAATACCTACTTTTATTAAAACTATTTAAATTCTCTCATTTATAGAACGTAAACCTTACAACGACATTTTTATAATCGTAATTTAGATATATTACCATCTCAAATCCCAGTTCCAATACCAGAATCTTCCAAACGATCGATCAATTATCACTATCCACCTTCTTTTGGGATTGATACAGAAATTCTCTTCAGCCACATTGACAACCATGGAATAATTCCACCTTCATCCGATCTCTTTAAAATACATTGAGCATGTATCACTTTCCCAAACTTTTCATCAGCACGTCAAAAATCTCGATTTCTACAGCTAGACATTCTCACTCGACAAATATCAATCTAAAAACTACATGCAGACTAGTTAATCAAAAATATTTCATCCCTATCCACCTACATAATCAGAGTATATGATTGGTTCTAAGTACAAAGAAAACAATGCATTACAAAATGATAAATCTAAAGAGTGAGAGATATTGTGTCGTTAACCCAATTTGAAGACACATTCATATAGGTGGCGTGCAACCATTCCCCAGGGAGTGAGAGAACAATGGACTTTCGTCCTGTTTGACGACATTTGCATTTAAATCACTGTTGAAAATCAATGGTTGTAAAAAATCATCCAACATGGCTGCCACGACGTACATACACTTCAACAATCAGGCAGACCTGAATTTTTGTTATTTTACAATCAAATCAAATTGCAAAGGCCAATTAGTTCTATTTTGTAAGTTATAGCAAACACACATAGATATGGCTTGCAAAGGTTGAATTGGTAACACTTGAGTTAGTGACACATGTAGACAAAAGGTAAACATAAAAGTGAACTATTGAAAAATTATGTACACAAAAATAAACCAAAAGTAGGCAAAAGGATATATATATAAAAGGTAGACAAAATAGACAAAAAGATAGACATTAAGATTGATTTAAAGTTAGAAAAAAAGATATATAAAAAAGTAAACAAAAGATAGACAGAATGGTATAGACACAAAGACAGACACGAAGGTAAAGTATTTTGTCATTCTTATTCTCGGAATGAAACAACATCAATAAACAAATTTTTACAAGTTCAGTGAATATTATTATTTATCTACTGAAGCATTCAGGAATAGATGACCTTTTAGTCATATTTATAATGCGCGTGAAAATTGCTTAAAATGATTCAAAGCTTTAAAAAAGTTTTCATTTAATAACTAAAATGTTTATAGTATAATCGTATAATTAGATTATTCCATGTATACATTGGAGGCTTAAAAAACAAGAATAGAAAAACGTCATCTTAAATAAAAGTTGACCTTCGAACGTTTTCCTAGCAATGCTACCTTGTTTAACAAAACCAAATATTATATTACATACATAATGGGCAAGAATAATGAAGGAAAATGGTGATGGGCCAGATGACTGATGAAATAAAATTTTGACGTAGAATTACTTTCAAGTCATTAGACATAAGTAGCTGATTTCTAAAGTTTTTTTGCAGTGAAATTATTGTGAATAAAACCACATATGTCGTTAAATATTCCTAACTTTCACGAAGAATTATACCCATCGTAGAATGTTATAATGACATTATAACGTTCTCTCAAATGAATGAAATATTAATACAGCTCGATTCACAAACAATGAATTATGTCAATAAAAGTTAGTGGTCGTTCCATCTGCGTAAATATAAATAACTTATCGTTTAATTTCAGTTTGGCATAAACGCGCTTTTGTTTTATGCTGATGTCTTTTAATGTATCGTTAATTAAGAATCAAAAAGGTCAACCACTGTTTCATAAATATATCCAAAACGTTTCCCAGTAATTGTGGTTTTAGTCTATTATAGATAAATCAACTAAACGTCAGATTTTGTCGCTTCTTGAACAGGAATTTAGCCATCCATACGAGAGTAATATTGATCTGTAGGAAGACCGGTTAGAGTCTTTATTTGTGTCTTTTTATAATGAATGAATACAGAAGAAAAAGCTTCCACATTATTGTCGATACCTAGCCGTATATTTGACGTCCAGTCAAGCTTCCAATCCTGTTTGTAGATAACGTTTGGCTTTAACGAATTTCCCCAACGTTTAATTTTCTCTATCTCTTCAACAAACTTATTTCGCCTTTTGAAAATATCCACATTTTTCGTAGTAGTTGTCATATTTCCAGCCAGTTTGTTACTGAGAATACTGAGAATGAACACTGATGAAGCAATCAATAGCGGGTACATATAAACAAACCATTTATCATTTGTCTGTAAGGAAGACGCATCACACAAGTGTAGTGATTGATTGTAAATGTGCATAACGTTCATTTTTGTATTAAACGAAGACACTTTAGTCAGTTTAGTGAAACTTTAGTGAGACTATCTTACGTATTTCCAATTCTTGTCTTGCCACACTTACAATTTTGTTTGAAGAAACGATGGTATCTTGGCTGATTTATCATAACACCCAGTCAGCTGATTCGACGTGTAATTCTCGACGTAGAGTTCAATTTAGTACGGTACGTGATCGTGTACTATCAAAGCAATGAGCTTGATGGCATTTAATAAAATCAATCACAAAAGAAACACGAAGAGCAGCACAAATCTCGCTAAGAATGACCTGGAACAATATCTTTATTTCATCGAATTCATTTGAAATCGTATAGTAGAGTACTAGTGCACTAACTAATACTTTATTTGTCATAAAAACGTTTGTTCTGCTTGAGCGATAATTGTTTCCGTTTAATTCGAACACAAATTAACACGGCGTTATGTAAAATGAGATACGAAGACACGAGGTACACTCTATTGAGAAAATTGACAAAATCACCAAAACTCTATAACGACCAATAACTACAATGGTTTATAATTTAATAATAAGACAATCACGTCACTTTAGGCAGTTTAGAACTTGCCTACTTTATAAATGCATTTCCAAATTAAATAATCACACATACACAAAGTACCCACACGTAGGAAAGTGCCCACCCTTTGTCATCATACGTGTATTATTAGATCTGTGGGTAGTAGCAGTTGAGTGGCTAGTGACAATTTTCAAGTGGAGGGAGCGAGACAACACTTTGCGAAACAAATAAAACGCACGAAGTATTTACCGATTTGCAATCCCTTTGAGACATTGCATTACAATATAACTGCTTATTTACAAATGAAGATCCAATGATGTTTTCCAAGTTATCAACGTGTGAACTTTTCAGCATATTTCGACAATATTAAAAAATATCCTTTTTAAAAGTTGGCAATAATGAAACTGAAACAACTCTCGAAAGTTATGAATCAAAATCATGAATCAAGAATAAAAAAGCAAAAATGCATACATGGTAAAAAAACATATGTACGCAACATATACATGAGGATAGACTGTCATGAATAACATGTTTAACGCACATAAAATATAGCTACGAGAAGTTCGTAAAAAAACTTTAAAAAACATCTTTGGTGAAGTCCTAAGATAAGAACGTAACGTTTAACAAAACCATCCAACAAAATTTTCCATTGACTTTTTTCTTTGTAAAAAAAGACTTTACAGGGTGTATCAAAAAAAACAACAACTGAACAGCTTGGAAAACGTCGCTAAAGTCATCAGCGCACAAGGTTTGCTGAAACCTTTGGTAGAAATAGATAGTTAGACTTCCAATGGTTTATGTGACGGAAATATTGTCGCGAAAAATAAAAATCATTTTTGAAATAGCTTGCGCATGAAAATGATGCAGCTAAAAAGAAATTGGAGCACATTTGGTCAAAATATGACACATGTTGTTCAAGCTGACAAAGTTTTCGGGAATTTTGCTGATGTGTACGCGAACGCTTCGCTTTCAAATTACAAATTAAATATCCTCATAAATTATGCGTTAATTTGAGTTTAAATTAATCCAAATATGAATAATTGATGAGGTTTTAAAAACGCAAAATAATGCGCAATTTGGATGCCTAGCGTTTGTGCACGCTTTGGCCAAATCTCCTTGAAGTTCGAAAGCTTGAAAAACATGAGTCATATTTTAACCTTGTGTGTTCCAATTGCTTTTAGCTTTGTCATTTTCGCGCGTCTTCAATAACACATTTCAACAAATTTGATCAGCTATTGCTAGTTAATTCTGCTGGCCAATCACATTCTAGCACGTGACTTAAGGTAGCCAATAGTATTTCTTCAGTCCTATAGGTCATGAACGTATGATAACTGCAAAATCTTGACTTTTTTCATTTTCCAATTGTTGGGGAAAACAAAACCAACTTACTTGCTAATTAAAAATGGGAATTTTTTTCGATTTTATTATACAAAACAAATAGATTAGATTTAACCGTTGTCTGTTCAGTGAGACACACGGGTAGGACGTCCTTTGTGATAAGAAAAAATGTTTACTCGCCTCGGCGCCTCGTGGCCACTTTGTTAGTTCTTATCGCAAATGACGTCATAACCGTGTATCTATAACTGTTTAGACAATGATATTTGATAAACACTTATTCCAAATACCAGATCACAATGATCAGAGTAAAACAACACAAAAATAAGGTAAAATGAAAGCACGATAAATAGTTTTAAGCGAATTTTGATCAAGAAGATCCTTAGATCGACTCAAATTCCTATTCTTTTTGAAGCCTTTTTAGTAACATTTCCAATGTGATTTTTCCATGTAATATTTTCACCCACTATACAATTTGAACAGTTTTGGCAGACGAAAAACGTTTGATACTTTAAGAGTTTATCGAAAGGATTGGTTCATTATCTATTTGTAAAAACCTTTCCCTTCAACTAACATAATGCTAATCTTTGGATATTTTTTTTAGATTTAGGGTTAATTTTTGTCAGCAGCTCACAGCTAGCGAAAAACCTTTTTCTTTGACTTTTCTACAATTTTATTTGTTTGCAAAACACCTTTGAAAAACAGCTTTTCAATTTTTTCTCAATTCATGGGGAGAAAGGTAGATTCTCCGCCAAATTAAGCTCGGAAACAGAAATAGCAATAACAGACTATTATACCCTATCTCAAGTTGCATGAAAAAAAAAACACACAGTAAAAACCGTTTTCAAATTTCTATTGATATACTAGTTTTCCCATTATTTTTACTTCAGTAAGTTGTTTGTAAATGTAGCGTATTTTTTTTATTCATACTTAACCCAAAACACAAAAAAATAAAACAAAAAGAACATTCGAAACTTCACTAACAAAAAACTCTTTGGATTTCAGATGGAATTCCATTTTGACAAATCAATAATGAACATCCAGATCGTAGGGTTCCCTGCAACAGAAGTCATAATAATCATAAAGTTGGACGAAGTATAGATGCTGGTATCAATTAATGAACGTTGATTTCTTTAATATACGCGACTTTTGCAAAATATATTAGCATGTGCAGACGAAATGATCTTACAAAACAACTGTTTAAAAGACATTCGTTTAAAATATTTTAACATCACCTCATTTCAATGCAGATGGTTATTTGTGGTAAGTGAAAAAGATGATTTTATACGGCAAAATAAATATTTGGAAGACAAACCGTAAATTCTCTCCCATTTATCTTGCATGGACAGGCTATGGGATAAATACATCTTCCATTTGAAAAGATTCTTTTATTTGGACAGAAACATCCTCTAGGTTTTTTTTCACGGGGACATTCACCTGACGTATTATCACCACATTTCCAGTCGCAGCCATCATCTTTTAAAGTTCTTATCGTACCTGAACACATCACTGTACCATCCTACAGAAAATATTTAAAGTTTAATAAAGAACTACACATGATTAAAACATGGATTGACAACGATCGTGATGAAGGCAAACTTTGTCCAATATATAATTGAATTCCATTGGGACACAATTAATGTACTGGTCTTAGCCGACACAATGAACAAGAACCATCCTCAGACACTTTTACTGCTATATACGTCATACCTTACATTCACAAAAATTGCAATTGTCAGGATCATCCCATTTTTGACCATCTTTATACCGTTTTCCTTTCATGGTACAACTTTGAACGGATTTGACGCAATATATTCTCCCTTTCTGAAAACACAAATATCTAAATTGAGAACGGTTTCAATTTGTAACATCTAATATAAAATACAAAACTTACATCACAACTACATTCAGTTAACATTCCTTCTTGCCATTTTTCCGTATTATTACGTTGGTTGCCATTAGCATCAACACAATCATCACCTTTTGGAACCTATTAAGACAAACTATTTCGTCAATTGCACTTTTTCGCCCTTAACAAGCAACAACATGCTATGTAAGATGTTTTAAAGTAAAAGAAAAAAACACAAGAAAAAACACTTGTGAAAAAAACACACAATGTTGGTAAAAATTTCATCACAGCAAGATTTTGGAGAAATTTCAAATCCACGGATGTTGCTGTATTTGATTGTTATTAACGTTTACTTTTGTTTCAGTCAACGGTTACAAAAATAGTGATGGTAAATATAATATGTCGTTAATATGTTTTACATGCTGAATAAGATGCTTTGCATATCATCAAAGGATTCTTCTTCATAATTTCGCTATGGAAAGCATGTTTCATGATAAGCTGACATTTATCATCATTTTTCAGGACTGTCCTAAACAGGACAATCAACATTTAACAATTTAGATGAAGTATGAAATATACTGCAACATTTTCTTAAAAGATTTCTTCATGAGCATCAAATTCTTTTTCAACCGAATAAGTCCCGCCATCATCAGCGCGACAATTATTTATATTAAGTTGACACTACGTTTACACGATGCCGGTAAGAAACTCTACGTTTGAACGGGGTCTAAATGGTTTAAATCCGAGAGTATCAATATATCCTTATAGATGTAGATCATCCAGGTTAGTAGAGTCCTGAGAAGGACTGTTGGTGTTGATGTTGACTAACGTTTCGATGTCAAGGCTACAATGCTGACAATTTTCTTTTTTGAAAGTTTGGCTAGTGTGCAAATTTTTTCAATTTCATTTACAAAAGTTAGTTATATAAAACCAACCATTTTTAAAACCAAATTATTGCAAGTTTGATGAATCTATTTTAGCGGAATCGCATTTAAAAAAACTCTAACTCGGCGCGTAGCTCTGTAAACAAGACTTACGTTGTTTGTTGGACATGTTACAGGAGCTGGTGTCGACTTTGCGATATTTTGTTCAACTAGAAATAGAAGAACTTTATCATTTCATAATCCACTTGGTTCAATCACGTGGTCAATCAAGTGGTTAATTATATTTCCAAAACTAAACTTCATCCGATAAACCATCCATTGGTATCCCAAAACACTTACTTATATACGTGCAATTGGGTTGACCAAAACTTATGATCACATCTTGCAACTTTCCCTGTGAAAAAATGATTAAATAAAATTAATTATAAAATAAAATACAGCTGAATACAACGATAAAACAGAACTAACCACGAATCGTTCAGGGATGAAAAAAACGTTTTCATCGCCAGTCAAATACTGTTGTGCCAATCTCAAATGACCGTTTGGATGAAATGCATGTATCGAACTATCTTGGTTGTCAATTCCAGTATAACGATAGTAGCTTTTACCTCTTGGTACATCAATTCTACACCTTGCTAAACGTTCATCCATATACATTCGAACCTCCAAATGTACCCATTCATTCTTAGGTATATTTCGGGCACCAAATGCACATAACGATGATTCCGGAATGCCTCTTAAGAAGAAAGATACGCCAACTTGTGCTACGTCATTATTCCAACTAAAAAATGAGAAAGAAAATATTCGATAACCTATTTCATAGTAGTAGCTAATGTTGTGAAAAAAATTTAATTATGCAATGTGAAAATATTCTAAAATGCTTTTTAAAAGCAGTTAATTTGAATTGTCAAACAACGAAGAGTAAATATATTAAATTCAAGTGAAAATTTCTTCGAGAAAAACTAAACTCAGAAAAACTTAAGTCTCTATGTACTTGAATGTAACGGCAAAGCCCGCACGGTTAGGACGATCAGGATTTGATAAAAATACAATAGTTCCACCATTTTCGCCATCGGCTACACGAAGATTAGCCATTACAGTAAATTCCCTCAGTAAAATTGAATTGTTGACGAAAGAACTAGAAACATTTGGAGGTGCAACCAAATTAGAAGCATTTGAAGGAAAATCGTATGCGTTTTGACCGCCAAAAGGTGAGCCACTTGTAGGTTTTAAGCCTGAGAGATCAACAACATCAAACATAACAATGTCGGCAGGCGTTTCGAGCGTTTTTGCGACTGTCTGACCTAGAAAAAAATACATATGGGATTTAATATTTTCTATGAAGTACTTATGACGCCAAATTTCGCCACTCAATTTTCTGATTACAACCAAACTATTAACTATATGTTTCCAGAACTTTCCACCTTTCCACTTTCTGTACACTTTGGTTGTAACACAACACAGTTACTTCCATTGTTTTACTTTGGTGGACAATAAAGACAACGCAATGTATAATATTAAAGTAACAACAGAAAATTGAAGATGGAAGAAAACTAAACTGTGTGGTATTGACCAAACTACAAATACCATTGGCAGTAATTATGTTTAACTCGTTGAGAGTTCATGTCAGTAAAAATAGGTACGTAAAGTGTAATGAAAATGGAGTTGTGTTCTCTTTCTATGGTTTTTCATCATTATAAAGCTGGTTTGTTAACTTTTTATAAAGCTACTGCGATAAATGCCTCCCAAATAGCGTCTTGCCTCATCTGTAGCTCTATTTTTTTGACTGACGTCATTTTACTGCGTACTCGAGAGCAATGCATAATGCATAGCGGTTATTATAATTCTTTGGTGTAGAATAGAACCCCAAGATAAACAACAATTATATTTTATCAGGAGCGTACGTAGATAAGTCTATGTTTGCGAGGGAAGTCAAAAGACGCAACAAACACATAAATTTACATAAAATTTTAATGGATAGAAGAAAAAATTGACAACGTTACAGAAACTCATTAAAATCGCGTTTTTCTTTGTATACATAATTTACTTCCACGTTATGACGTGAAGAACGTATCGCAACTTTAGAAATATGTTTAATATCTTTGTAATAATACATATATTTGCCATATAGTGACTTGTTTCTAAACCCAACACATACCAGTAAAGAATAAAAGCACTCCAAGGAAAATATGTGACAACATCTTGTATCGGTATTTGAGACAAAAGCTGACCACCTATTACAACGGATGTGTATGGTAAACTATACTAATTACATTACAAATTAATAACCACTGGACCTTACGCATTTCCTTAAATTGTCATATGACAGCACTGCAGGAAAAAAGAATCTACAAGGTGTACTTGTCTTTTGTCGAAGAAAATCAATGTTTTATGCATGGCAAACAAGACTTTTTTATTAAATAAAAAATAGCTGGCAGGTGTAAGAGAAGAGGAAATTAGTTTTCAGAGTTAAGATGTATTGAAGCAAGATTATAAAGTCTACGTGCGATCAAGCTTGTGTGAATTTTGAGTGATAATACACTAAACTTTTAAGATGCATCGATATTGAAAGATCTTTTTCAAGGCTTATATGATGCCACACAAGTATCGTGCCTTCTTTGTCTAGATAGAACAGACCTTAAAAGTTAAAAGGAAAGTAAATAATCTAACATTATCATGTAGTCCAAAAAACCAATGATGTAAGTGGTTTGGGTAAAACACACCAACACCACTTGCCATCCGGATGTAAGTTTTGACATTGTCTAGGGTTTGTGTAGTACGTCCAAAAGAGATGATTTCCCCTTTCCACTTTTTGCACGAACATCTCAACAAGTAACCTAAATGTAATATGCACATGGCTGACAGTGTTTTTTTACAGGAAATGATGTAAACATTAGCCGACATTTATTAGTAGTGTTTGCCGAAGAGTGTTAATAAATTACATTTATCAAACCAACAAAGCGGCTACATCTTTAACCGCGGCATAGAAATAGCAAACAAAGAAAATATTTTCTCACTATTTCCATGCAGGCCCATACATTTAATTTCAGTTGGTTTACAATGTTTATAGTAATCTTGTTTATCGATTGCCATAAAGTTTTCTCGTTTTGGGTTGCAAAATACAAAAATGACTCAAAACAATGTGATTTAATTGGTGCTTGCTTTTCATGATTTCTGACAAAGTTCAATTGGACGATCCTGCTTTGGTAGCAATTATATTGTGTTGAAACCATTTAAAATCAGGATTTAGAGACGGTGATTATCACAAGTATTGTTTCTGAATATAACGAGAAACAAAATAACACATTGCAAATTTTCATCACTATTATTCAGTCAATATGTAAATATTAACATCATCAATCATGCAATTGTGGCATATAGCTCTTTTTTGTAATCACCGAAACATAAACATGTAAAATATTTGTCGAGATGTTTGGCATAAAAGTGTTGATAACAAGTGCTTTCATTGACGTTATCACGCTTTAAGTAGGAATAGGTTGTAAGATCTTTGTTTCACTACAAACTTTCGTTTTTGTTTATTCTAAATTAATTCAAAATTTAATGCAGCGGCCCACATTTGACGAAATTTCGGAGGAGTAATCCAGAATAGGCGATTTGAACTCTATTTAGCTATATATACAGGTATCTACATCAAAATACATATCTAAATAAATTTTGGCCATTGATTAAGCTGCGCTCGACACAGCAAATAACTTTATTTTGCTATCAGTGAGCCTAATATCAAAACAACTACGAGGGAGGGGAGGGGGGGGGGTGGGTTCGTGTAAGCTTAGAATAATGATTGATGAGCATTAAAATTATTACTATATAGGTCAATTTCCACAGGGCTTTTTTTGATACAGCATAAAGTCACTTGAAACATTTACAATTAATGAAATTTATAAATGAAGATATTAATAAATTTTTATTTATCAAACCAATAAAGCCATTCACATATTAAACCACGGCACTTAGAAATAGCAAACAAAGAAAATATTTTATCACTATTTCCATGTAAACCAACAAACTTAATTTTGATCGGTTGAAAAAATCTAAATCTAGTCCAGTCCATTCGATTTTGCCATAAGGTTTTACCTCGCATAAAAATTTACAAAATTGACTCAGCTTCGTGCTTTCATTAGTGCTTGTAGCAGGTGGCAGTATATTGTACTTGAAACCACCGAAATTATAAGACAGTGATGATCTACTGATCACAAATGTTGTTTTCTTCTTTATAAAAGAGAAACAAAAATAGTACATTACAAATGCTCATCAGTATCAGTTTGAATATGTAAATATTAACACTCATGCATGCATCTTTTTGTTTTTTACAAAAGCTTTCATAAACATGTAAATATTTGTCGAGATGTTTGGCATAAAGAACTGAAGTGTTGATAATATTTGGAATATTTTTCATTTTCTTTCCAATACAAAATATAATTTCTTTGCCCTCCTTATAACAAGTGATATTTGGAAATGGAAATTCCTCAACATAAAGCGTTATCTCAGCTTTATCAGCTTCATTAAAATGAAAAAATATCTTCATGGATTTAAATTTAGAAGCTTTTCTTTCTAAATAAAACAAACAAATTGTAGTTTGTTAAGGATCCAAGCATCCACATTCTACATTAAAAATAACACGCAAGACAACAATTTACATAAACTTTAAAATCTTCTAAATAACTAGATATTGACGCCCTTCAATGGAAATAGGTAGTTGGACTTCATCTGGTTCATCTGAAAGTAAAAATATCAAAAATATAATAATCATATTTGGTGTGAAAATTTTGTTTACGAGAAGCACTTTAGAAATTGCTTGCGCACGAAAATGGCACAGATAAATAGTCATTGCTATTCAAAAAATGAGATGTTGTTCTAACTTACAAACTTTTATAAAATTCGGCTGTTGTGCAAGCAAACGTTTAGCTTTCACATTGCAGAATATTTTCAATTTTTCACTATGCATAAATTTGATTACTAATGCAAACTTGAATAATTGATGAAAGAATACAGTTTTGCCAGATTGTGAACAAAGTTCGTATTATTGTGAGATCCCGAATTATTCCAAGGTTTCCCGTCAACTTCCGATATTAAAAATTAGATGTAAATGTAATATGAACTTTTTGTCATTTTTGTGAACTTTTGACGTAAGCGAACCTGAATATTTTAAAATTTCATCTGGCAACACTGAAGGAATAAAGTAAGGTAATAAAAAAGGAGAAACGTAAAATTATTTGAGATTTGGATGAATAGCGCTGGCGTACGCTTTGACCTTTTTTTGCAAAACATTATTATTAGCTTTAACAACATATGCCATAATTTAACACTATTATATGAATTATGTGTTCCAATTGCTTCTTAGCTTTGTCATTTTCGCGCGCAAAATATTTCAAAAGTGCCTCTTGGCATAATTCTCGTCCTAAACATAGTCGTGATGGGCAAAAATTTTGCTGTCAGATGAACCAATTGAAGCCCAAAAAGAAAAACGAAATTCTATTTAATGTTACAACTTCATGATTAATGCAATCATTATCTTACCAGTATATACATAAATCCAACGTAATTCTAATCATCCAATGAACATTAAGGACTCAATTTTGTTGGCATTATAGAATTTCCATGATTTTGCTTGATACAAAATCGAACCTACCTATGACTTCTAGAATGCGTATATCGGATAAAATTTTCATGTTATTTTTTCCATCGACTTCACATCTGTAAACACCTGCATCGTTTATAGACACTCTTGGAATGCGATACACTTCAACACTTTTTTGAGGAGTTGTTCTAACAGTAATAAGATTTTCAGGAACATGATCCTCAACTATTGCAACATTTAGTCTTTGTCGTCTGAACCATTTAATTTTTGTTGATCCTTTTTCATACTCACAACGAAATTCAAAGTTTGAACCTTCAGCAACTTTACTGGTCACATCTTCTGGATAAATCGTAAATTCATATTTTCTTGCTGCAAAAAGAAAAGATAACAACTGCTGAAATTGGAATAAAAAAAATAATTTAGACACACCAAATTTGTTTAAATAGTAGAATAATTCAAAGAAAATACCATTATTTTTACACAAACATTGGACAAAAACATGTCAAATCAAGATATTTTTACCATAAAGCAAGTACATCTAACATAAACTTTAAAAAGAACACAAAATAGTACATTTAACTCTATCTTTATAAAGCAAACAAAGTCTGTGTCAAAGAAGTGATGTTAAATTTACTTTACTTTTATTTGAGGAATTAAGACAAAATGTAATGTTTGCCTTGGAGAAGGTGCATATGTTTACAATTTTCGAGCAATTAAATTTATATCTACACTATAGTGTATGTGACTACTAAAAAAGGTATAGCCATTTCAAACAATACACATACCTGGTCGGACGGAAAGAAATCCCAAATGAATAGTTGTCTTTTTACCATTTTGATCAAAAATACATAAATATTGCCCATTATCGAACACTTTTAAATTAGAAATGATGAGAAAATTTCCGTTGACTTTGATTCTGTTGATTGCAATTATCGCCTTATTGTTACGAAAAAATTTCACAGTGCTGTTGCCAGTCAAGGTTACATCACACTTAAAAATTTATTTGAGTTCAGTTTTATGCTTTCATGTGCAAAGACGATCTAGGGTATGTCAAATCAGTCAAGCGACATATGTTTATAGCTCAAAATTATTTATCAAATTTAATGAAGTTACAATTTTTTTTTTATCCCAAGTACTGCGTCTGTAATCGTTTGGATTTCATCGTCAAAATTCTGTTTTATGTATGAAAACTTATACAAATACCACCTTAGTAAACAGATCAGTAGATAAAAACATATCTAGAATTATATTAACTGGCTGACTGATAAGGGCAGTGTTGCCAGATGAATTTTAAATAAGTTCATGTCGGCATGTTCAAAAGTTCACATATTATCCTTCAATGTTCACAAATCGACAAAAATAATTTGCACCAAATGAATGAAATAAGCCAAATCAAATGTAGATTTAAGGCGATTCAAATTTTTGTTGTACAAATAACCAAAAAAATAACAATGAAAAACAATTATTTAGTTCGATTTAGATTTGTCGCTTGAGTCAGAGGCTTGAGCATGAAGAATGTTGGAGTGTCATACGACTTAAAGCATTGGTCAAACGAGAATATTTGGTTTACAACCTCCTGACTCTTTCACTCCTTGCTTAACACAGAATACCGTACACTGACTTTGTGTGCAACCTATTTTTTCTTACAGTTTTGATTGCATTCTAAGAAGAAAAATTCTCTCCCACATCAACATTGAAGAATGAATTATGGTTTGTCTCGAAATTCTAAACCGGTATATATTCATTTTGAACAACCTTGTCATTTATAACTGACAAGTTCATACTTTTTAATTTTAGTAAAAGTTCATGAAATGTTCACAAAAATTCTTTTTGTTCAAAAAATTCAAAATAAAATCAAAGTTCATAAATCTGCCAGACTTTGTTTCGCAATCTGGCAACGGATAGCGGGATGGCTCGACAGGTTCGACCGATGCTTATAATTCAAAGCAAAATTTAAGCATTTACATTGGTCAATAGCCAGATCAGTGGACGATCAGGAATAATCTCGACCGATAAGCGGGTGGCCGGACCTATAAAGGGAGTCAATTGCTATCGTGTAATTGATTCGTTAAAATTGCATACTTACTTGGTGGTTTGACCGATTTCATGATATCAACATGAGCTAACATAGTCAATCTCATAATCTGAATTGAATGTTTGATCGTTTCATAGTAATTTTCTAAGCATGATAGAAACTAAACTACAATCGAATTGGAATTTTATGGAAATCTTTACAAATTCATATATTGACATGAATGCTGCTGTCAAACTGTGAATTTTTGGATATTAAATTTTAAATGCTTGTGAACGATCTCGCAGTAACTTTCAGTCATTAAATAAATGGTTTGAACCCGGGAGTATACGTTACATGTTTTGTAGAAATGTAAGATTGTCCGGGTTGGTATAGTCCTGAGGAAAGGACTGTTTTAGTTGTTGTTGACTGACGTTTCGACAACCGGATTTCAAGACAAAGCTGAGGACAAAGCAACAAAACAGAATATGAGACTAAAGTAGCTGAGCGCAATCATGTTCATCTAGCTTCACTTTAGTAGAAATAACCGAAATTGCTGCGTGCTTTAAAGGAGACCACGCCAATGTTTTATGTAATGTTTGAAAAATCCTAATAACAATTTGCGAAATGATCACAATTTTGAGCTGATAAAAATTTTTTGTAACAAAACGATAATTTCAACTATAATTGAACTAAAGCTACATTTTACTATGATTTTCACGAATGAACTTCGACTTCTTACATTGAAATTTGTACTCGCATTCCTAGTTCAACTTAAACTGATGAGTTTATTTTTAAGGTAGATCAACGTTTTGACATGCATGACATAATTCAACTTTATATTGAAGTCAAACGATGTCTAGTGTGCTTATCGGGACTCCTCTTCTTTATGTCATCAAAATTCCAAAGTAATATAGGTGCATAATTGACGAAAAACCGCGAGTTGTATCTTTCTCAAAAACTTATTCTATATATGATCTATATGTTCATACCAATTTCCAAACATGGTTATACTTACCTATAACGTTAATATGAACATAGCATGTTGAAGTTTTTCCACCATACAGAAAGTGCTTGTACGGAATTTTGTGCTGTCCTACTAAGAACGACTGTGGAGAACTAATGTTCGACTTTTCCTTTTATGTATTTATGAGGACAAGTGAAGTTTTCCGTTCACTCCAAGATATATTTGCTACTATTTTCCCACGTTCGAGGCATTTTGTTCACGACATTTTTTGCACACCAACATTTACCTGAAAAATTTTATTTAATAAATAAAATAGACATGCATGGTCGTATTACTATATGTAGCAGGAGTGATGTATAACAAAGTCGTTCGATCTGCATAAACAGACCATGACAAGCTACATCCATTAACGATGAACGTAGCCACGGAATAAAACTGAAAACAGTTTAATTTCTATTTTTTAGACTAAAAGCCAACGACTTAATCATTTGATCTTGCTAAACTTGACTCTTTAGTGAGGAAATCCATGCTTCTGATACAGCAATGTTACCAATGTACGTAGGTCTGCAGTTTTGCATACGCAATAGATATGTAAAAATACAAGTATACCTTTTTCTACTTTAGGTTTTGCAAATTAAATCTTCTCCAACAGTAAACTTTTATATGAAAATAATATGTAAAGGCAAATGTAAAATATATAGATTACCTTCAAGTGGACAAATTTCACTGAACATCCTGAATCGTTCCAAAGGTAATTTTTCTCTTCGATGCAACCATTAGTTAAAGACAAATTTCCGCACCTTTCTTCCATTTGATTTTTTTCTTGAACAAACACATTCCATTTATCTTCACAAAATTCAAACTTTTGTTCCATCCCGATTTAACGGCCAATTTAAAGTCACGGCCAGCATCAACCACAAGATGACAACAAAACGCATCATTTTTATCCTTTAAACTGCCCTTTTATGGAAAATCATAGCTGCACAAGTTCGATGATAGAACACTGAAAACATACAACTATTATTATCGTAAATATCAAAATATCAAAGCATTTGGTTTATATTTGGTTTATCTGTTTTTTATTTGCTGATAGACGAAAACTTTAAATGCAAAACTCAAACGCAGAAATTATATACGTCAATCCATACACATCTCCTTGTACCTCTCTTACAAGCATGGAAATTAAACCTTTTTTTAGAATTTATTGGTTTTACAGCTCACAAAAAAGTGGATTAGGAAATTGTTTTTGGAAATGAATAAGAAATTTGGGAAGTAAACATTTTTGGTGATGAATCTCATCTTCATCACGATATTTTTTGCTGTAGATCATGCTCGTTTATGCATACAGTATCATCTATTATATAGTAGGAAAAATATCAAAAAATTGATGTTGTTATTGATTTTTTTATAAGTCGTCCGCCGTGTCTTTTAACGAGGGACAGCATGAAGAAAATCAACCAGTCAGCTTAAAGCTTTTTTTTATATTTTGCTTTCTAAATCTTTTTCATTATTTTTTATAAATGTTGTGTATAAATAGGAATACCAAAACACATATTCTTATTTGTGGATGGAAACGGGGTTTTTTTCATAAACTTTTTAAAACTGTTTATTCCGTCGAAAAATTACGAATACAAATATCTAAATACAAAAACAAAAAAGTAGCACGGATCTGCTGATAACAACTGAAGTAGAATTACATTTGCCTAGGCTTCAATCTGAAGTTTGATCATAAAAATGTTCTGTCCTTATAAGAAACAAGCCTAAATAATGTCTTCGAGGTGAGTGATTCTCTTTAAACCACTGCACACTTACATTCTTTCATTGTTTACAAAGAATCCATGTCGATGTTGCCTTCGTAGCTTCAAGCAAAAGTTTAAGATGCAGAAACAGAATATAGAGCTTATAGCAATTTAACCATCATGAATTTCAATTCTACAGCATTAATGTTTCATCTAAACTGGAAATCTAATCATAAATTATCATATCTTAATATCTACTTACCTTTTGTCTTCAGACAATTTCCCAACGATAATGAAGCCAATTTAACGATTCGATGATACACCAATAATCATTAAACATTTAAAATACGACAAATTTCTTTAGAGCAAACATGTTTAGGCATACTTTATGAGTATTGTGCTCCTACGAAATTATACACCAATTATGTTGAAAAGCAAGCGTTCAATATTAATCTTGCAGCATGTGCTTCCATCTGTTCTGTTGATATGTCCA